CTTGAGGGGGCTGCTCGGGGCACAACAGTAAGGACTGATGGGGACAGGAAGGGGAGAACAGTAAGCATACTGATGTGAACTTAGGTGAAGGCCAGAGCAGCCAACTCCATATATGGTGCTGGTTTGATGTGTGTGGGAGGGCGGGGTGGAGAAGGTGGTTTAGGAGCCAGGTAGGTCAGGATGCCAGTAGAGATCAGTCAGTAACAAATGCCTTCTTCAGAGACTGGGAGGAAGAGGAAAGCCTCAGTGTCCATCTGTGTTTTCCCTTTTCACTCTAGGAGCCACACTCAAGGGGTCATTTGTCCAGACCTGAAGCCCAGAGTCTCTCCCCCTATACGACCAGCGCCAACCGGGCCAAGCTGCTGGCTAAGAACAGGCAAACATTCCTGCTCCAGACCACGAAGCTGACCCGTCTTGCCAGACGCATGTGCAGGGACCTGCTACAGCCGAGGAGGGCTGCTCGACGACCCTATGCCCCTATCAATGCCAATGCCATCAAGGCAGAGTGTAAGAGCACGAGTGCTGGGGCTGGTGGCAGGTTAGGGGTTGCCCTGGCCAGAGACCAGTGTGTTTCTGGATGTTTAATGACAGTAGGGATAGTAGGCCATAGGAGTTTGTTAAGATTTAGACATGGCCCCTGGCCCCAGAAAAGGCATGAATAGATAAGCCCCTTCAAAAGCTTTCACCTTTGTTCTCCAGGCTCCATTCGACTTCCTAAGGCCGCCAAGACTCCACTGAAGATTCACCCTCTGGTGCGGCTGCCCCTGGCAACTATCGTCAAAGATCTGGGTATGGGATGGGGAACCACACTGGATACAGGGTGGGTATAGGATGGTGAACCAGTTAGGGTGGTGTTAAGCTCTCAGTCCTTTTACTGTCAAAACCTTTTCTCCCCCTGCTTTTTTCTTTCCCATTCAGGCCTTAGAGATTTAGCCCAACAAACTGTACTTTTGTAGGTTAGTAATGTTTTCTCATGAGCTATCCAGAATGACCATGCTGACCTGACAAGATCACTCCTGTGTGACTTTCAAAATACTGGTTTAGTTTTGGGGGAGTCGAAAGCTATATGGGGATATCTTACGGGGGAGTGGGGGGTTGGTGCCTCTAACTCCCCAAGTTGTTCAAGGGTCAACTGTACTGGTAATTGCTTGTCAGACCCCTCCCCCATCACTACTCTAGGGATGCCCAGGGAAACTGCATAGAGAAAAGAAAGTATAAAAGTTCTTTTTCTTTTTTTACCTGGCAGTGGCCCAGGCACCTCTGAAACCAAAAACACCTCGGGGTACCAAGACACCGATCAACAGAAACCAGCTGACCCAGAACCGGGGGCTGGGGGGCATTATGGTGAAACGAGCCTATGAGACTGTGAGTTGACAGAATGGAGTGGGCCAAGCTGAATTGGGGGGGCTTTTATTTCTGACAGGAGTCTGAGAGAGTCTCTTCTCATTGTATTGCCCCACCCTTTTCCAGATGGCAGGGGTAGGGGTTCCCTTCTCTGCCAATGGAAGGCCTCTGGCTTCAGGGATTCGCTCAAGCTCCCAGCCAGCAGCTAAGCGTCAGAAACTAAACCCAGCTGATGCCCCCAATCCTGTGGTGTTTGTGGCCACAAAAGATACCAGGTAGGGAATCCACCGTGGGAGGGGCTGAGAGGTTGCCATCCCAGGTTGATGGGTCTGGGAAACAGGAGTATCTGAGCAAGGCCAGCTCCAGAAAGACTGGGTGCAGGATGGGGATGCCAGAAAAGAATGGGTTGGAAGAATTGCAGTGTGGAATGTGGGGTTTCAACTTGAGGGTCTTAGCCTTCTTGATTCCCCTCTTCTCTTCCTGGCCAGGGCCCTTCGGAAGGCTCTGACTCACCTAGAAATGCGGCGAGCTGCTCGCCGGCCCAACTTGCCCCTGAAGGTGAAGCCACCGCTGATTGCAGTGAGGCCCCCAGTCTCTCTACCTGCACCCTCACATCCTGCCAGCACCAATGAGCCCATTGTCCTGGAGGACTGAGCATCTGTGGGGAAGGGAGGTGGGCTGAAAGCTAGAGGGTGGGTTTCCAGGCCATCCAGGCTCCCTTTCCTCTAGTGTCAAAGGGAGTGAGGGAGGAAGGGAGGGAGGGAGCAAATGTGTGTCCTTGGAGGGGTTGGGCGCCCTCTGGTGTTACCACTTCAAGGCTCGTCTCCTTCCCATGCTTCTCCATGCCTGGTGATGCAAGGTGGACTGCAGGAACTTGGCCCATTGTGGGAACCTAGCCTGTTTTGCAGAATAGGACCCACAGTTGTCTTGGACAGTTTCAGGGGGAGGGTTTTTTAATTTTTTAAAAATTTTGCCTCCCTTTATGAAAGGGGACGGGGAGGGAAGAGTAAACAGATATCAGGTGGTGGTACCTGGTTGGGGGAGGGGGGCGTGCACTGCCATGACTGCCATGTCTATCTTTTTTTTCTAATTGGGGGTTTCTCTTCCTGTCCGGTGTCCGGACTTTCCTAAATAGTTTGAGGCCCCTAAGCTGGCATCAACCCCAGCCCATGCTCACTCTTTCCTTCCCTCCCCGTGTCTCCTCTGCCTTTTGTATGCCAATTCTCAGAAATAAAGATCTTTTGTCCATTTTTTAAACCTTGGATTCTGTAATTGGTTCTTATAGTAACAAATAATAAAGCTGTTTTCTTCAGCTCCTCCTGGCTCAGCTGTTCTCTGCCATGAGTGTGTGTGTGTGGGGGTGTGTGTGTGTGTGTCTTCAATTAGGAAAATAAAAGGACAAAGGACAAGAAAGTACAGATGGGGCTTGTGCTGGGAACAGCTTTATAAGATACACAGCCTGGACAAGTGACCTGCTCCAGCTACCTTTCTTGTAGGACCCAAACTGCTCCCCAGTTCTCTATGGTGTTGGAGCACCATCTGGACCCAGATTTATTCAAAGCAGTTGGGATCAGTTGGGATGAGCTGGTTCTCTGGATGGGACTCCTCCATAGGAGGGGGGTGTGTGCACGAAGATGCTGCTTCCTCTATTTCCCTTTTTTTAAAAAAATATGCCTTTATTGATTTCAGAGAGGAAGGGAGAGGGGGAAGATAGAAATATCAGTGATGAGAGTCATTGATCGGCTGCCTCCTACACTCCCACCACTGGGGATCAAGCCCACAACCTGGGCATATGCCCTGACCCAGAACGAACCTCAGTCTCCTGGATCATAGGTTGATGCTCAACCGCTGAGCCACACTGGCCTGGCTATTTCCCCAATTCTTAACTTCCCTCTTCCTTTTACTTAATGGAATTCTGGGAGTTGCTAGGGGCCAGAGCAAGACGTAGCCCACCTTGGGGGGTGGGTACTAGAGGATCTTTCTACCCAGCTCTGGTATATTTCCATAGAGTGCTGCTTCATGGGTCCCCAGGGCCAGCCTCAGCAACTGCCTTAATATCAGGGCCCACTCTAGTTCCGTTTCCTGCCTTTTCAGGTTTAAGAAATAGATTAAACACCTGAGCTAGACCCAATAGGAGAAGCACCTGTCAACTGATCATGGTGCCAATTCAAAGCCAGCCAACAGGAATCCCCAATTTGGGGTGTGATGAAGGAAACTATTCAGTGCAAAACAGCTCAATTGTGATACAGCACAGCTGTGAAAACAGCACGCTGTGAGGTAGCCCTGGGGCCAGGCCTCTCTCCAGCTAGACAACTGTGCACTGCTCTGCTCCAGGGAGATACCTTCGGTGTTTCAGCTCGGCCAGGAAAAAAAACTACATCCTTCAGAGGAAAGAGAAAATAGGCTCTCAGAGCCAGAGGGGAGCTGGCTTACAAGGACAGAAATCCCTGCTCCTGGTACCTGATTGGTCTGTCCTCATGCAAATGATGGCTCCAAATCTTTGCAGTTTGATTGGTCCAAAGGCACTGTCCTGATTGGTCAGGAACTGCTTTTTAAGGGCGCACGCAGATGGCAGAAAGATAGTGCAGTCAGGCAGCTTAGTGGAGGCTTCTCCTTGAAGTGAGGTTTGCGTGAGAGGCCCTTGTGTAGAAGTGGCTTCTAGGCCTTGTGTTTTAAAATTTGAGCCCAGTTAGCCACCAGGAGCCCTTCTTAGTAGATGTCTTATTTCCCAGGGTCTATACCTCTTAGGGGATATCAGAAGTCTATTATGTGCTCCTTGGGCACTTCCATTACGGATGCAGAATAGCCTCAGGAGTTGTGACGTGCTCAAGGTTACAGACCTTGAGAAGCCTGCCTCAGGTCCACTGCTCTTTCCACAGTCCACAACTAGGAGCTGATAACCACAGCAAGAGCTGCTTAGCCCATCTTACAGTCCTCTACTCATGGTCCCTGTCACTAGGGCCTCCCCAGCTCCCTTATTCTCCTTGTCCTGAGCTTACACGTGTGTCAGGATGAACTGGCCACTATACCAGTCGGGGAGAGCAGCGCTTTCCCCCCAATGTCTTTTACTCAGGTGCCACCATAGTTCCACTGCATGCCTCGAAGTGGGCTGGTGGCTCCGGCTCCTCATGGGTGCAGCCCTCTGTTGCGGAAGGAAAGCCTTGCTCATCCGGACTGCAGCGATCTGGCTGTGGCCCCTTGCAGTCTGGAAGGTGACGGGTCGGGCCATAGGAAGCGGTCGCAGAACACCGCTTTGGGGTAGGAACCAGGGCAGAGGGAGAGAGGAATAGCTCTAAGGTTGAGAGTCCAGGGATAGCCCTCGGCTTCGTGGAGCTGCTCATCCTCCGCCTTCATTCGCCAAGTAAACAAGGGATTGAGGACACAGCCGCGCGGGTCTCTACTGCTCCTGGAAGCCGAGAACAGCCTGCCCAAGACCGCCAGCAAGGAAACAGCGGTCGGCTGTCAACCCCGCGCCCGCCTTCCCGTCTGTTGTTATGAATATTCAGGATTCTTTGGGCCAGTCAGCTCCTGAGCAGCTCAGAGCGCACCAATCAGCTTACCGCATGCAGATAAGACTCGTGGATGGGCGGGCTTTTCCTAAAGCTCATAAAGCCTTAACAACCGCTGGAAACGGAACCCTGAATCGAAGGAACCTGGTTTCCGGAGGAATGTGCCTCCCGATTAGCCGCCTTACATCACTTCCTATGGTGCTGGCGGAAGTTGCTTCTGAGAGCATTGAGATTTGGAAGAGTGAGCGGAAGTGGTTGCGTTTGGTCGGTACCGGGTAGTCGCGATGGCGGCGGTGGATTCGGATGTCCAGTCGCTGCCGCGTGGGGCTTTCCGCTGCTGCCTCTGCCACGTTACTACAGCCAACCGTAAGCGGTGGCTAGCGAGGAGGGGTGGTTGTGGGCTTTCGTCTTCGGGTCTTAGGGTTACAGGTCATCGTGCTTGTCAAGTGGATAGGTAGAGTCACCTCCGTTTTCACAATGCCTGTCCCAAGATTAGAGAGTGGTGGAAGTCCCACCACCTTACACCCTCCTCCCCCTGTCCTAAATCTTCACGACAAAAGTTTCGTCATTTTATTCCCTCTTTAACCGCCATCTATTGGACATCCCCTTCGTGCCTGCTATTCTGCTGGGTTCCACGGTGGGAGAGGGGATTAAAAAGTGAAGGAGCTCACCATCTAGAGATGGAGACAGTTCAGTGCTCTGTAGATATGTTAGGGGAGCTGTGGAACCACAGAGAAGATAGTAACTAAGTCAGGGAAGCCCTATAGAGGCAAAGATGGGTTGAAGTAGCATGATTGGAAGGTGGGTTTCGAAAAGTTGACAAGGTCTGTATATGACAGCACAAGGGGCTCAATGAAACCTCAGATTTCACTTAAAAAAAAAAAAAAGCCTATTGATTTCAGAGAGTGGAAGGGAGAGGGGAGAGAGAGAGAAACATCAATGATGAGAGTCGTCATTGATTAGCTGCCTCCTGCACGCCCTCTACTGGGGATCCAGCCCCCAACCTGGGCATGTGCTCTGACCAGGAATCGAACAGTGATCTCCTGGATCCTAGGTTGATGCTCAACCTCTGAGCCACGGGGGCCCAGCCTCAGATTTCACTTTTGAATTTTTTTTCTTTGTGAATGACACTACTGCTATGTCCCGCTAGGGCCAGCTAGAAATCCAGGATAGTCTTCCTTGGCCCCATCAAGCAGCTGGTTAAAAATGTAATAAAAATAATGGCAGCTAAACTTTTTAACCATTCACCGTGTACCAAACTCTCTGCCAAGTGCTATATATGAACAATACCTATTTGTTATGTACTGTCATCATCTCGATTTTATATCTGAGGAAATTGATGCACAGAGAGGTTAAGTAAGTTGCCCAAGGTCTCAGCTTGATAGAGCTGGAATTTGAACTTGGACAGTGTGGCTTCATATCTTTCACTTGTAATCTTTATACCATACTCAGAGATGACCCATAGGAAATAGTCTAGGGTCCTGATATATTTAGTTCTTCTATATATGATTTGGATAAGTTACCTGTTAATTTTGTTACAATTTACAAGTGTTTCTCTTCCAGAGCACCTATAGATGGTTTAGGAAATACTTATAGTTTAGTCATTTCTCCTGGGAACCACTTGAAATGCACTATATGTAAAGACAGATGGACAAGAGAGGAAGGTGAAAGGAGCCATGAGTTTTATTCAAACTTCACACTTCCTGTGGCTTGGAAGGGTCAGTGGGATTCAGGTAGGCAGAGAACAAAGTTGGGGCAGGTACACTGAAGAGCGATTTGGATGTATTTGTTTCATGTTTGTTTTTGCAGGACCCAGTCTGGATGCTCACTTGGGAGGCCGGAAGCACCGGCATCTGGTGGAACTACGCGCTGCCAGAAAGGCCCAGGGACTTCGAAGTGTGTTTGTCAGTGGCTTTCCCCGGACTGTGGATTCTACTCAGCTTTCTGAGTACTTCCAGGCGTTTGGACCTGTGGCCAGTGTTGTCATGGATAAGGACAAGGTAGAATGACTGGCGCTGAGGGTGAATAATGAGCTGGGCATGCCATATACCAAAAGAAATGAGGGAGAAACCAGCAGTGTCTTTCAGCTGGTTCCTAAGGTGACTTGTCCACGGCAGACACCACAGTACCTGGACTAGTCCAGCTTTGTGAATACCACCAGCTTGAATTTTCTCTGTTCACTAGAGCTGGTCAACTGGGGTACTTGTTGGTCACATATTCAGTCAATCTTTTATTTGCCAATTATTTATTAACTGCTAACTCTGTACTAGGCACTGCATTTAGAGCTGCATTCTTTTTTTTAAAATTGTTGACACTATTACAGATGCCCCCCATTAACCCACCTCCACCCAGTCCCTGTCATCCCTCCCCTGACCTTCACCACTCTGTTGTCTGTGTCCATGGGCTATGTATATTTGTTCTTTGGCTACTCTCTTCACCTTCTTTTATCCAGTCCCCCCCTGACCCCTGTCAGTCTGTTCCATGTATCCATGCCTCTGGTTCTATTTTGTTTCTTCAGTTTATTTTGTTTATTAGATTCCACATATAAGTGAGATCATATGGTATTTGTCTTTCTCTGGCATATTTAACTTAGCATAATAGAAAGGTCCATCCATTCTATCACAAATGGTGAAAGTTCCTTTTTTACAGCTGCATAATATTCCATGGTGTAAATGTACCACAGCTTTTTTATCCACTTATTTACTGATGGGCACTTGAGCTGTTTCCAGATCTCAGCTATTGTAAACACTGCTATGAACATAGGGGTGCATATATTATTATTCATGTTTTAGGAGTCTTAGGATATATTCCCAGAAGTGGGTTCACTGGGTCAAATGGCAATTCTATTTTTAATTTTTTGAGGAAACTCCGTACTGTTTTCCACAGTGGCTGCACCAGTCTGCATTCCCACCCGCAGTGCACTAGGTGCCCTTTTCTCCTCATTCTCACCAGCACTTGTTTGTTGATTTATTGATGGCAGCTATTCTGACAGGTGTGAGGTTATATCTCATTGTAGTTTTCATTTGCATCTCTCGGATGATTAGCGATGTTGAGCATTTTTTCTTATGTCTCGTGGCCATCTGTATGTCCTTGCTAGAGAAGTGTCTATTCAGGTCCTTTGCTCATTTTTTAATTGGGTTATTTGCCTTCCTGGTGTTGAGTTGTATAAGTTCTTTAATATTTTGGAAATTAAGCCCTTATCAGATATATCATTGGCAAATATATTCTCTCACACAGTGGGTTCCCTTTTCATTTTGTTGATGGTTTCTTTTGCTGTGAAGAAACTTTTTATTTTGATGTAGTCTCATTTGTTGTTTTTTTCCTTTGTTTCCCTTGCACTAGGAGATATTTGCTAATCAAGATGTCTGAGATTTTATTGTTTATGTTTTCTTCTATGATTTTTGTGGTTTTGCGACTTATATTTAAGTCTTTTATCCATTTAGAATTTATTCTTGTGTAAGTTGGTGGCGTAGTTTCATTCTTTTTGCATGTACCTGTCCAATTTCCCCAACACTAGAACTGCATTCTGAGTAGTGACTAGGATCGATGTGGTCCCTGCTTGCACAAAGCTTACAGTCTAATGGAGAAAGTAGACAGTTAAATAAGTGAAGTGGGTGCTTAAAAACCACATCATTCAGAGATAAATCCTAACCCCACCAGAGACTGGTTGATAAACCAGCTAGCAGTTTAACCTACACTGAGGGTATTGAGGTTATCTAGTCAGAACACCCTGTCCTCTGGACAGTGCTGGGCAGACCATCTTGTTCTTTGTGGTCCTGTTTGTCTTGTTTCCATGTAGACTTTTTGTCAGTGTCTCTTTAGTCCCTTGAAAAAAGTTCACTGTTACAATTTGCACCCTGGTTATGTAGGCATGGCTTAGATGATCTCAAGTCTCCTAGCATTCCAGGCCTCCTTTTGGAATGGGATTGGGTCTGTTTTTCTTAGGGATTGCATTCAGCAACTGATTCATAATGGCTTAAACAAAAAGAATTCAGTTGCTCTCTTATAACAAGAAGTCCAGGGTTTTACTGTTTTCCTGCTCTATCTTTGGCATGTGGCTCATACTTTATAGATGTGATAACGCTGCTTCTGTATCTTCAGGTAAGAAGAAGGGGCAGGTTGAAGGGCAGAGTACAAAAGACTAGTGCCTGCTGAGTCCAAGTCCCCTGTCCCCCTTTTCTTTATTTCCCAGGAAAATAATTTTTCCAGAGGCCTGTTCAGTAGACATCTCCTTTTATGTCATTGGCCAAAACTCTTGTCATGTGATTATACCTAACTATAGGCAAGCCTGGGAAATGAAGTTTTTTATAGCTGGGCACTTTGCCCTTCTGAACAAGAGTTGGGATTCTGTTAGCAAGGAAGAGAGGGAGAGTGTATATTGGGTGGGCAGTTGGCTGGCTGCCCAGGTTACTTTTCAGAAAGCTCAGTGTCCTCATTTTTTTTCGTATCGATTTCACTTGAAACCTCAAGTTTCTGGGACTTCTAATTATTATAACAATAATGACTAAAATGTTTATTGAGCAGTTCTTATGCACCAGTTATGTGCTAAGTATTTTACATAGACTGTCTCATTTAATGTCCACAATATTTCCTTGAGGGAGATGATTACTGGGAAGTTGGAGGTTTGGGGGTTAAAGCTTCTGTTTGGGTGGCAGTCACAAGACACTCAGTTTCTCTGAGCTTTAGTTTCTTATTTTGTAAAATGTGAATAACAGTACATGTCTTGGAGGATTCTTATGAGACTTCAAAATTGTTTGTGAACTACTTGGTTTACAGTGAGCCTCAGTAAATGGTGGCTCCACCTGGGGACGCTGGTATCGAGAGGAAAAATGGCTCGCACGCAGGCTTCTGACCTGCTTACCCTCCCTCCCCGATGCTTTCTAAGGGGCTCTTGGCAGCCTGGTTATCAGATTGCTGTTGTTCCTGGGTGGTTAGTCAAAGGTAGGGTTTATGTGTTTGTATTTATGTCTAGTACAGTGTTCATTACATGGATTCTTAATGAATGTTAAAAGGCTCTAATTAAGGCAGAAAAAGTGAGGGGCTGAGTCTCATTATAGCCAGTGAGATCACGTCATTGGGAAGAGTAGGGCAATGAAATAGGTAAAATGAGACTTTCTGAGGCTGACTGGGTGAGAGTAACATGGGTGGGATCCATGTGACGGGGAGAATTGCTTCCCTAAATCTTTTCCTTGAAAAGATTGTTGTCCAGAAATGGCAAGCAAATAGTCCTAATTTATAGAGTGCTCCCTACTTAAACTTTCTCACTCACTGTTAGACCATGTTTTTGGATTCTTGGTTGCAGAACCGCCATCCCTGCCCATTGTCATTTTCCAGGGAGTATTTGCCATCGTGGAGATGGGGGATGTGGGTGCCCGGGAAGCTGTTCTGTCGCAGCCCCAGCACAGCCTGGGAGGACATCGCCTGCGGGTCCGTCCACGGGAACAGAAAGAATTCCAGAAACCCACCTCCAAATCTCCCAAAGGAGCGGCCCCTGACAGTCACCAGCTAGCTGCAGCACTAGCTGAGGCCCCAGATGTGGGGGCACAAATGGTAAAGCTGGTGGGGCTGAGGGAGTTGTCCCACGCCGAGCGGCAACTTCGGAGCCTCGTGGTGGCCCTGATACAGGAGGTCTTCACAGAGTTCTTCCCTGGTGAGTCACCGTCACTGCGTCTGAGCCCACTGTGCTTTCCTCCCGTGTCTGATCCTCAGCCCTGCCTCAGCTGAGGTGTTTATTTGGTTGCTTTCATCTTCGTGCCCCGTTATGTTCTTCTGCCCTTTAGCCCCCAATGTCTCCTGACCTTTATTCTCTGCTCGGCACCCAGGCTGTGTGGTCCATCCTTTTGGCTCTTCCATAAACAGCTTTGATGTCCATGGCTGCGATCTGGACCTCTTCCTGGATCTGGGTGACTTGGAAGAGTCCCAGGTGAGCGACCAGGAAGGTGGTCAGTGGGAATGGCTATGTGACTCTGGGAAAGCATGTTACTTCGCATGCTCAGTTCCTCATCTGAATGGGGACAATAGGACCTACCTGAAAGGGTTATTGTAATTTGAGAAACGTGAATGTGGGTGTGTATTAGGATGAAAATGAACTGACATACCATACATGGCATTTATAACAGGAAAAACACCAGATTTCAAAATGGCATATATAGTATCTTATTTTGGAAAAATATATATATAACAGGCCATACAATAAGGTAATCTGGGCTTATGTTTTTTGCGTATCTGTATATATATTTTTAATATATCTTTATTGATTTCAGAGAGAGGAAAGGAGAGGGAGAGAGATAGAAACATCAATGATGAGAGAGTCATTGATCGGCTGCCTCCTGCACACCCCAAACTGAGGATCGAGCCCGCAACCCGGGCATGTGCCCTGACCGGGAATCGAACCCCAATCGCCTGGATCTTAGGTTGATGTTCAGCCGCTGAGCCACTCCCAGCTGGGCTGTATTTTTTACCATCTAATGTACAGATTCTGCTTTTGGAATAGGAAAGGGTTATTATTTTTTAGAGTTTTAAGTTCACAGCAGAATTGAGCAGAAATTACAAAGTTCCCATATACCTCCTGTCCCACAAAAAGGGTTATTTTTAAAGTAAAATTTCTTTTATCATTCTTTCTCTCTCTCTCTCCACACACACACTATATTTTCTGAATAATTTGAGAGCAGGTTGTGTATATCACACCTTTACCCCTTAATATTCCTTAATACCCAAGAACCAAGGGATTCTGGTATATGAGCACAGTGCAGTCATCAAGGTGAGGAAATGTTGTACTGATACAAATGTGAAACTTTACAGACTTTAATGTACAGTACATACTCCTGTTTTGTCAGCCACCCTGATAATGGACTGTTACGTTGTCTCTTTAGTCTTCTTTCATCTGGAACAGTTTCTTTGCCCTTTTTGGCCTTTCTTGACAGACATTTCTATAGAATACAGACCATTTATTTTATGGCATTAAAAGGTGGTTTTTAATTTAAAAAAAGTATTTGTGAGAATTAAATGAGTTAATATGTATAAAGGCCTTGGAATAGCGCCTGGCATATAATAAGCAGCAAGTCATAGGTATGCCTTGGGGACTGAATGTTCCTTGGTTAGGGGACAGCGGGAGAGGAATTCACTCAGCTCATTCCCATCCACAGGCAGTCCTAAAGGCTCCAGAGTCTCCATCCTTGGACTCGGCCCTCGCATCCCCACTGGATCCTCAGGCCCCAACCTCCCCTTCAGACTCACAGCCTCCAGCTTCTCCCCAAGACTCGGACGCCTTGGACTTTGAAACCCCTTCCTCCTCCCTGGCACCTCAGACTCCAGACTCAGCTCTGGCCTCTGAGACCCTTGCTTCTCCCCAGTCCATGCCTCCAGCCTCACCACTGCAGGAAGAACAGGGAGAGGGGGACTTGGGAAAGGCTCTGGAACTAGCAGAGGCCCTGAAGGGGGAGAAAACAGAGCAGGGAACCATGCTGGAGTTGGTGGGGTCCATTCTTCGGGGCTGTGTTCCTGGAGTATACCGAGTCCAAACTGTGCCCTCTGCCCGACGCCCTGTGGTCAAGTTCTGCCATCGGCCTTCAGGTCTCCATGGTGACGTCTCCCTCAGTAATCGGTACCTTTGTTTGGGGGGTGGTCGGGGAAGGCCAGTGAGCATTTGGGGTGGCTGAGGAGGGAGCCCTGGTGTGGGGAGCTCCTGCACCTGCTGAGCCTCCAGGTGTCCTCATTGGTCCCGGCCCTGTCTGCCACTCATCTGTCTGGCTGCCATTCCCATGTTCGTAAAGTGTGTTTTTTGGAATACTATTTTTAAGGGATTAGAAAGAGTTCCATGGTTGAGTAAGTTTGGGAAAGGCTAAGTTAAAGGCAAACAGGTTTCTTCCTCCTTCCCTTTCTTTCTCCCTCCCCTCCTGCCTTTGTTCCTTTGTATACTAAAGGTTCTAGCAGTTTCATAATAACATGCTCTGTGAATGTCTGAGATGGGCATATAGGGCACATAGCACGTAGTGTTCTTTGCATACTCTCTCACAAGACCAGTGCGTCAGCAAACACTTTGGAAACCCTCTCTTGGCTTTATTCCTCACTCCCCTTACCCAAGTCTGGAATAAGGGCTGGGGCTGATAGGTCCAGAGGGTTCCTGAGCCTTAACATCCTTGTCTCCTCTTTGTCCCAGGCTGGCCCTGCATAACTCCCGCTTCCTGAGTCTGTGCTCTGAGTTGGATGAGCGAGTGAGGCCCCTTGTGTACACCCTCCGTTGCTGGGCGCAGGGTCGAGGGCTGTCAGGTGAGAGTCAGGACAGCCCTGGGGCTGAGCTGGCATTGGGGCAAAGGAGGAGGCAGATACAGAAACCAGGGTTGAGAAAAACCACCAAGGAGGTCATTGGAAGCACCTCTAATCTAATGAATTATTATTTACCCAGGGAGTGGCCCCCTTCTCAATAACTACGCCCTGACCTTGCTCGTGATCTATTTCCTTCAGACCAGGGACCCTCCTGTATTGCCCACTGTGTCCCAGCTCACTCAGAAAGCAGGTACGGCAGCCCGGCCACCACCCTTTCCATCCCCTTATCTTCATCTCCTCTTTATCTCATGTAGACACACTAAGCTACCCTGGGAATGAGATCTCTGCTATTCACTCTCATCTCTACCCCCCCCCCGCGTTCCCCCCAATCTTCTAGCTTCCAGGCTGACCCTCACCTTTTTTACTTTCACAGGTGAGGGCGAACAGGTGGAGGTTGATGGTTGGGACTGTAGTTTCCCCAGAGATGCCTCGAGACTGGAGCCCAGCACCAATAAGGAGCCCCTGAGTGAGTTTGGGGACTAACACAAGATATTAATCATGACAGTAGGTAGCACACATCCCACAGTTCCTGTGGGCCGGGCATGGTTCTCACAGGAGCCTTGGGGATAGGTAGTGTTGTTGCCATTTCTCAGATGAAGAAGCCATGTCCTGAGAGATGAAGTGGCTTGCCCAAGATTACACTGCTAGCAAGGGGAAGGAGCAGCCTCTACGGAAGTTGTTGCTAGGGGCACAGAGAGAACTTGGCCTCTCGCTTATAGGGGTCAGAGGGGCCTGGCTTCTGGCACTCGTTGTGAGCCACTGGGAAGGGAAAAGGAAAGTCCTGCTAAGAGAATGGCTCTGGTTCAGGACCTGCCTCAGCTCTGGCCTCTAAGTAGCCCTTTTTTCTGGTCTTTCTCCTCCTCCAGGTTCCCTGCTGGCCCAGTTCTTCTCCTGCGTCTCTTGCTGGGATCTTCGTGGCTCACTGCTGTCCCTGAGGGAGGGTCAGGCACTGCCTGTGGCAGGGGGCCTGCCCACTGATCTCTGGGAGGGTCTGCGTCTCGGCCCCATGAATCTCCAGGACCCCTTTGACCTGAGTCACAATGTGGCAGCCAATGTAACCAGCCGGGTAGCTGGGCGGCTCCAGAACTTCTGCCGAGCAGCAGCCAATTACTGCCGAAGCCTCCAGTACCAGCACCGTTCTTCCCGGGGTCGGGACTGGGGGCTGCTCCCCCTTTTGCAGCCCAGCTCCCCTAGCTCCCTGCTGTCTGCAACACCCATCCCCTTACCTCCTGCTCCCTTCACCCAGCTCACTGCTGCCCTGGTCCAGGTGTTAAGGGAAGCATTGGGGTGCCAGATAGAACAGGGAACCAAGAGACTGCGGTCAGAGGGAGGTGGAACTGGGGACTCTCCCTGGGGAGGGTCATGCAAAAGACTGAAACTAGATGGACAGAATAAAAGCTCTGAGGAGGGGGAGCAGGAGCAGCAGGGGTGTGCAGGGCACCACAGCGAAGATGAGGTGGAAGAAATGGTGATAGAGGCTGGAGAGACAGTGCAGGCCTGGGCCATGCAGAGCCCTGGGCAGCCAGGGGAGCCTCCCCTAATGACTGCAAAGCTTCTAGCTACTGGAGAAGAGGAGCAGTCAGGCCATGCAGTACCGGCAGGGCAGGGCCCCAAAGGCTCTCAGGCAGCCCAAGGACGGTCCCAGGTTGAGACAAAAAAGGGGGTGTCATCACTCTCATCAGTGAGCTGGCGCTGTGCCTTGTGGCACCGAGTGTGGCAGGGGCGGCGGCGTGCCCGGAGATGCTTGCAGCAGCAAACCAAGGAGGGCGGTGCAAGCGGTGCTGGCACAGGAGTAGGGTGGCTGGCGACCGAGGCTCGGGTAACCCAGGAGCTGAGAGCATCGAGCAGTGCTGAACAGACGCCAGAAGCTGAGCCGCTCCTGACCTTTGTGGTGTCTGCCTCCCAGGCTGACCAGACTCTCACTGTGACCCCACTCCAGGATTCCCAAGGCCTGTTCCCTGATCTCCATCATTTTTTACAGGTTTTCCTCCCTCAAGCACTTCGAATTCTCCTCAAGTGAAGACAGGGACGGCTAAAGGGCAATAAAGCTGCTAGTTCAATAAACACTAGTTTCCTCTGACTTCCACCTGGTAGCAATCCTCCTTCCACCCAGTACTTCACTCCCTAGACCTTAATGCAGCCTTCTCAGAGGTGCCTTCTCTGCCACCCGGAATTGGGTCTCAGCCTGTTTACTTCCTGCCATTTAGCACAACTTGGAGTGTCTAGGACCATTTGTACCTGGTACCTGGAGCCCACTCAGTGGAGTTCTGGAATGACAGTGCTGGGTGGAGGTACTGAACAGTACCAGTGAAAAAACGGGTTTGCCTCCACTGTAACCTTGCAGATTTTCACACCTGAAGCTCCTCCAAGGTGACAGGAAGTGGAAGGGAAAGGCTCTTCTCCCTAAAACCCCTCCCCCCGTTGCAGGCCCTTGGACTAGCGCCCTTCTAACAGGAACAGCATCCTGGAGCCGCAGGGTGGTTTAATGGGAGAAAACCTCAGTAGTTTCAGACTTGGGCTCAGATTAGACATTCATCCTCTCTGGAAAAAACAACCCTGCCCTGGCTTGTGTGGCTCAGTTGATGAGTTTCGGCCAGGCTGAAGGGTCTTGGGTTTGATTCCTGGTCAAGGGCACGTACCTGGGTTGCAGGTTTGATTCCCAATCGATGTCTCCCCTCCCTCCTTTCCACTCTCTTGAAAAGCAATGGAAAAAATATCCTGAGTGAAGATTAAAAAAATATCAAACCCAAAGCAGTCAAAAGGAATTTGGCACGTCGCCACTTCCACGCAGTTGTTTCCGCTCCTGTGTCACACAAACGTGGTGGTAAGGATCTGGCAGAACCTCCATCAAGTCACGCCTCCCTGGGCCTCATTCCGCCGGCCGGAGGGGCTGCCCGTGAGACCCCGCGCGGCGCACACGCCGGGCAGCTGGCCCGCGGGTTTTCACAGTTCCCCCTCCGCGCCTCCGGCCTCCACGTCCGGACTCCGATTGGCCGTCCCTGAGGGGCGGGCCAGTCAGCTGCCTCACTGCGCAGGCGCGAGCTTTTTCCGCGCAGACCAGCAGGCCCCACCCCTTTTCCCATTTCCGCCACCGCAGTCTACAGAACTGTCGTGCGTGTGCCTTCTATGCCGTCCTCGCTTTCCGGCTGCTGTTTCTCCACGACTCTCCGCTTTCCCTCCTCCCTTTTCTCCCTGACGGCTTACTTTGCGGCAGCACTGAGAGCCCCACCCCCTTTCTCTGCGGAATCACCATGGCGGCTGGGGTAAGTTTGCCGGCTCTGGCCATCCCGGTCACCCTATCCGATGCCATCCGATGCCCGAATGAAACCAGCCGGCGTCAGAGGGGTCCTGGAGCCGAGTGGGGAACCTATCCAGGGCCTAGAGACCGTACCGTGGGAGAGCAGGGCTTTCAGGCCCCGGAGAGGAATTGATGCTGAGACTGTCGGAGGCCAAAGAGGTGGAATGGTCTGGGTTAGAGGAGAAAAGAGACGCCGGATCCTGGCCATCTGGGGCCTGAGAAAGGGGTTCAGGTTCATTGCTGCCTCGAGACGTGGGATCCGGGCAGGTTGACAACTTTTGCGACCGTTTTGTGGGGCAAGAGGGACAGGGTGAAGAAGAGGGTCTTCGTGGGCATGTACTGGCCGCGGTTAAGGGTGGTCCGTCAGGGAGGTTTGGGAGCAAAGACTCTGACGATGGAGTCAGACGTCAGATCAGTTGCACCCCGCTGGCCAGGTTACGAGAAGGATTCGAGAAGGAACTTACTGCGGGACAGGACCGGAGGGATGGTACACGGGGTAAGGAAGCAGAGGCATTTTAAAGGGAGACCGAGTTGATTTAGGGAGAGAAGATGCTCTTCGGTATCTTCCTGGCTTTTCGGAGCGGGACTTGGAAATGCCTGGGTAGGCTTGTGTGTGTGTCTCTTAGAGACAAAGGTGATGCTTCTGAAGTGGGGAGCTGCTCAGCAGCAGAGTAGGCAGGCATGGTAGCCATCAATGAATGAAACTAGGGCTCTGGGAAGCGAGGGGTGTGTTTGTCCGCAGAAGGAGTCCGAGGGAGCTTGAAGTTCTGGATTTCATGTTTCTAAAGATGTCCTAGGGAAGGTCAAATCTGTCAACAAGCTTTATTTAGCAGTTGGTGTGTGTCTGTCCCTGGTATTTTGGAGGACTCTGATTACACATGACAGATAGCTAGCCATAGAACTTGGGTCACCAGCGGGAGGAAAAGAGTGAGTTGAACAGATGCGATTATTCAGGAAGTCATCCCTGGAGGTGACATTTAGGAATGGGACCCTTCTACTCCCACTAATATTTTCTTACCCCTCTTTCTTGCACAGACCCTGTACACATATCCTGAAAACTGGAGGGCCTTCAAGGCCCTCATTGCCGCTCAGTACAGCGGGGCTCAGGTCCGCGTACTCTCCGCACCACCCCACTTCCACTTTGGCCAGACCAACCGCACCCCTGAATTTCTCCGCAAATTTCCTGCAGGCAAGGTGAGTAGGAAAGTGGAAAAGGATCTTTGGTCCTGAGAACCCAAGTGGCTGTAAGATTCTATCACTTTGAAGATGGCCTCCATCTTTAAAAGAGAGCTTTCCACATTTGACCCCCCACATTTTAGTGATTTTAAGAAACTTTTATTTTTAGATAATTGCAGATTTCCATGTAGCTAAAAGTAGTAGTCAATTGTAATTGAAAATTAAAAAGTGATTTAAAAATAATAAAGCGCTATTCTGTGACATTTAATAAAGTTTATAGGCTGGCTTTATGTGTGTGGAAGAATGACTTTGACTGTGTTCAGTGCAACTATGGCAGGTATCCACTATGAGCAGGATTCTTTCCCCAAGGGGCTTCCAGAGATAGATAACCATCCTAAGAATAGAAGAGGTCATGTACAGTGTGGGGAGTACTATAATGCTTTGATTATTACAGATGTAGACATAAGGCTTGGCTTCTGACCTTTTGCTTAATTGATTGAGCCGATAATATCTAAATCTTTTAGGTTTCTTATGTGAGCAGATTGTAAGGGATACGTTTATTCAAATATTTTTGGTTCGTGAGTTTTAGACAATATCAAGAGTTTGGTTAGCAAGGGTTGTCAGCTTTATTTAAACACTTTCATCCAGAACAGTTTAGTTCCTGGGATTGGCTTATGAGAAATTACCATGTATTTCACTTATCTTTTGACTGCTTTGTCCCCAGGTTCCAGCATTTGAAGGTGATGATGGATTCTGTGTGTTCGAGAGCAATGCCATCGCCTACTACGGTAATTTGCAGTTGGATATGGGAGTGGGAGGGTCTGGAGGTGGGGGGTGTAGGAGAGGATGAGGGTAAGCTGGTGTGTGTGGACAAGGAGAGGACTTCTTGGGGACTGGATTGGTGGTGGTGTGACCCCAAGGTTCTGACTTTTGTGTTCTGCCTCTGCAGTGAGCAATGAGGAGCTGCGGGGAAGTAGTCCAGAGGCAGCAGCCCAGGTGGTACAGTGGGTGAGCTTTGCTGATAGCGACATAGTGCCCCCAGCCAGTACCTGGGTGTTCCCCACCTTGGGCATCATGCACTACAACAAGCAGGTGAGTCTGGGAACTCGGGGAGAAGCCACAAGCAGGGATGGTGTCAGCTCCAGATGTCAGGCAGTAAGAAAGAAAATAGGTTGAGGAAAGGAAATGCCAAGAATATGTGGGTAACAAAGGACCTAATCTTTAGGCTGGAATTTTGGAGCACTGGGCTGTTGGTGGGATCTGGGTTCTTTGTCAGACAGACCCTATGGAGGTGGAGATGGTGTCTTTCAAGAGTGGTCAGAGAAGAGATTTTTTTCTGTAGGAAGGTTATACGAAATGGTAGGAGAGTGGTTAGACCAGATGACCTCTAGGGTTCCTTTTAAAATGCAAAGACATACATATAGCTACGATCAGTGGAAAATGAAGCCAGACTGCACCATGCAGAAATTTAACATTGAGAGCTTCGTTTGTAGTACATTTGGAGTGATCCTAGAATCTGGCTCCATTGAGTGGGTGGGGATGAGCCAGGACTCAGTAAGTGAAATGTCTCTCTTAGTTCAGTTGTTGGGGGGAGGGAAAGGGATTGATATTCACTGATAGTCTCATCATTTTGAGTCAACAGGCCACAGAGAATGCAAAGGAGGAGGTGAGGCGAATTCTGGGGCTGCTGGATGCTCACTTGAAGACAAGGACTTTTCTGGTGGGTGAACGTGTGACACTGGCTGACATCACAGTTGTCTGCACCCTATTGTGGCTCTATAAACAGGTAGGTTTATAAAGAATCAGCTCAGCAGGGGTAGGTAGGGTTAGAACCCAACTGATAAGTCTTCTGGGTTACTCTATCGTGATTTGAGGACTTGGATGTGAGGGACTCTAGGGAGTCTCAGGAGTCCCGGGATTGGGTGTCATGACTGCTTTCCTTCCTTCCTCCTGAGAAGTTGGTAGTGCTCTGTTGCCCTTGGCTTCTGTTTGGCAGCTAAGGTGTTTCTTGTGAAGCCTGAGTGTGCTAAGTTGTGAAGACAGAGTTAGGGGTGGTAGATTCAGCCTTGAGATCTTCTGGAGGCAGAACTAGTTTCAGTCCTTGGCCTCATTACTGACTAATTGTAGGTAGAGGGGTATGTGTATGTGAATTCCTTTGGTCCTGTTTTTCCCCCCTCTGTGAACTATAGAAGCAGGGTACTAATAATCATGTTGAGGTTATTGGGGCAAAGAAGATGACATGTTGCTGGTTCCTAAACAGCAGCTCTTGGACTGATGCTGATCCAGAATAGTAATGTGATGATAGCAAGGAAAAAGCTCCTACCTGGTTTGTGCCAGACCCCGTGCCAAGGGCCTCACAGGGGTCAGCTTAGTGAGTCTGGCCTGTTGTAAGTCTGAGGGAAATGTTGCCTGCCCGAAGCCGGTCAGCTGGTCTGGGTGGAGTAGAATTTGAACCCAGTGCTGCAGAACCAGCATACAGCACTGACTACTGTGGCTGTCTCCTCCACAAGGTTACTTTCCCTCTGATTTTGGCAAACTGAAAAATGGTAAACGAGCTTTTCATGAAGCTGTTTAATTGAAAGGACTGTCCGTTATTCTGAAATGAAGTTTTTACTGTTGCGTGTATTTTACACATTTATTTGACAAAATAATCGATATTCTTCTGTTGATCCCAACCTTTTAAAAAAAATTATGTGGACATGTTAAATTTAAAAGATTGCAACTAGGTGTGAAATGGCTTGGTAAAAAGAGCAAGGCACCATATGGTTACTGTTCCTACCAAAATGATCCTTCGTAAATGGAGGGTGGGACCAAGCACCCACTGATTTGGCCTGGACCCCCCAAAAGAGATTAGGAAGATGGGTGGGAAGTAGCCCTCCAGGAGGAGCTGCGTTTCCACACAGCCGCTGTCGGGGGGGGGGGTCACAGAACAGAGGAGTTTCGGTGTAGAAAGAAGCAAGTCTTGGCCTCCGGCTTGAAACTTCAGGACCTTACCCTGCACTGACTTTGTTCCCACCCTGCCATCCTGCCAGGTCCTGGAGCCTTCTTTCCGCCAGGCCTTCCCCAACACCAACCGCTGGTTCCTCACCTGCATTAACCAGCCCCAGTTCCGCACCATCTTGGGGGAGGTGAAGCTCTGTGAGAAGATGGCCCAGTTTGATGGTGAGTCTGAGGAGGTCGGGGAGCATGCTGTCCGGGTTGGGCTGGTTTGCTCAGTCTCAGCCCCTGAGTTTCCTGTCTAGCTTTGGGGTGACATGCGCCTACGAGTGCAGGACAACACGTAGTAACTGGTATTTTGTGAATCTTGTCTTATACACTTGTTCTCTTTTGTGTTAAGATAGATGCACATGTGCTTGTTACTGAGGGCCATCTCTTGCTCAGGGACACTGAACTGGTGGCAGTGTGGAGGGAGCCTGGCTCCCGGAGCTGCCCCACTCAGCAGTTTTCCTCCAGCACCCTGCCTCCTGCCTGGTTTCAGGGGAGTGGAAAGAGACAGAACATTGACTTTCCTCTCTTCCTCTATGCCAGCTAAAAAGTTTGCAGAGAGCCAGCCTAAGAAGGACACCCCACGGAAGGAGAAGGAGAAGGGATCTCGGGAGGAGAAGCAGAAACCCCAGGCCGAGCGCAAAGAGGAGAGAAAGGCAGCCGCTCCTGCTCCGGAGGACGAGATGGACGAGTGTGAGCAGGCGCTGGCCGCCGAGCCCAAGGCCAAGGACCCCTTTGCTCACCTGCCCAAGAGGTAAGGGTGTTGGAAGGTGGGGGGAATGGAACTCAAGGTGGCCTGATCTTACCTGTGTGTGCCCAGAGGTTTAGGTCATCCAAATAAAATTAAAGGTATATATTAGTTGCAAACAAAGCGACTTCCTGAATTTAAGAATTGGGTGAGTTTTGAAAGTTGAAAGTACATCCCAAATGCATCCAGTATTGGGGGAGATCAGAACTCCCTTTCTAGCAAAAAAAAAAAAAGAAAAAGCGGAACAGGCACAGAATTCGGTGTGGAGGACACTGGCCTTGAGAGCGCTCATTAGTATTTGGGACCCTCAGAGCTAACAGAGTTGGGGGAGAGGCAGCCTGCACCTGCTCTGCTGGGCTGCCTTTGCGGAATCGGGGCACCACGTCAGTGTCATTTGATTGTCTTTGCTGTTCTGATGACTCAGACTGTAAATACTGCTCGCTAAGAAGGGTTGATGACCACGGCTACACGGTGCCTGTCTGGCTCGTTGTTTCCCAGACTGGGGAGGGGTTAAACCCCTCAGGAAGAAGGAAGTAGATGGGCTGCTTGTCTATACCCTCTTTTCAGTAAATGTAGCGGCTCTTGGAAGAAAATACAGTAAAAGGGAGATTTTTGATGTGGAAAAAGTGGGACACCCAGTACATTCCCAGTTCTGTTACATAAAATTTCCCAGGGCTGAGAGACCTTCGAAAGAGGTCAACTCCATCATTCCATCAAGAGTTTATAAGGGAATTTATACCAGGTGCATCTTGCTGCAGGTGACATGGATGTCCTCCATGCCACATGGCAGACGCTAAGGAGTTATGTGGGACAGGGCAGGATGGTTAGGGGTACAGCGTCACCCACCCCACATAAAGGGAAGATGCCTCACATGCTTGCTGCAGGCAGGAGCCAGCCCAGATCAGCAGGCCCTGGGCCATGGGGGTGGTCACTGCACAGTCTGTGTTGTGGCCGGGATCTAGCGCCAGGGTCTAGCATGGCCTTGTCTGTACAGTCTCTCCCCCACACTGTCGTCACATCTTTCTTGGGCCACTGCCCCAAGTCATTTTACTGCAATTTCAAGCTGTATGAGAAATGTCTCTTCTCGTCCACTCTTGCACCCTTTCACTGGTTGGTCTGCTAGCTTCAGCAGGGTTTCACTTCCCCGTTTTGTCGGGTTTTGATGTGGGATGAAACAGTATGAAGGAGCACACCCTGGTGGCAGGCATGCTACCACCACTGTTTCCCCACTCAGGAACAACTTGGACAGTGGCTGGGACTCTTCCTCAAGACCCAGAAGGCTCTGACACAGCCACTCTTTAAAGATGTATTTCATCTTGAGCTGATTTACTTTGAACCTAGCACAGGCAGGTCGAGTGAGCAGGATTTTTTCCCGTTTGACTACCACTTTTCTCCTAATGGATTTTAGTGGCTATGCTTATGGGATAGATTAAAATTGCCATGATCTGAAGGGAGAGGATTTGTTTGTGCCCTCTCCCTATATGAAATGGCTGAACAGAAAAAAAAGCAAGCAGTGTTTTTGGTGTGTGTAAATAAACTGTGATGGTAACTAACCCAAATCACCAATGCTGTTGTAATACAGACACTGTTAATTATTAGCTAGAGATTTTCCCATATGTTAGGGCTGGACTCTGGGCAGAAAAGAAATCAAGCAGTAAACTTTTAAAGTCTTCAATAAACTGCATTTCTTAAAGCCTTGAGAATGTTTGTAATACCTGTCTGTTGGCATTACTGAGGGGCTCCATTGGGCTGCCAAGGTGATTTCCCCAGGATTAAAAAAAGAAAAGGTTAAAATATGTCTTTATTGATTTCAGAGAGAGGAAGGGAGAGGGAGATATGTAGAAACATCAATGATGAGAGTCATTGACCTGCTGCCTCCTGCACACCCCTGCTGGGGATCGAGCCCGCAAACTCTAGGCATCTGCCCTGACCAGGAATCAAACTGTGATCTCCTGGATCCTAGGTCAGCTGCTGAGCCACGCCAGCTGGGCTCCCCTAGGATTTTTAATATCTCAGAGGTAATGCCTTTGCAGCCCAAGACCATCATTTGTCCAGAATTGATTCTGGTGCTTTTAAGGCTTCCAGCTAACTTGTTCCAGGAGCTGTTCAGATGTTCAGAGCCTGGGCGGGGTGGGGGTTGGGGATTATGGTCTTGAATAATACACATAGTTCAGGAAGGTGTGAAACAAATCCCCTGTCCTATTTAACGGGTGGTTGAGGTGGAAGAGCTCAGATGAGGCCTCTGGTGTTCAGGAAGGAACCTGGGACCTGGGGTTAAAGAACAGATTCTCTACTACAGGGTAACTTGGACAAGTCACACCACTTAACCTGATCTGTGAAGGGAGAGAAGGTAACAGTCTAACGATGGGTTTGCTCTAAGAATGAAGGAAATGGGTGGTAACTCGTGGCATTATTAATGCTAATGAATAATTGAGCCAAGTTAAACATTCAGTAAGGGGGTTTAATAGATTTATGGCACATTTATGCAGTAGAAGGATATTTAGCCATTAAAACATTTACAAAGAATTCTCAATAGCATGTCAGTATTTAAACGAACAATTTGTAAGGCATAAAACTAGCTGTATCATCTTTGAAAACTCACCAGTGGGAAAAACCTAAAACTGTTGTTAGTTGTCTTGTTTGATGGATTTTGGGTGACTTTCTTCAGGCAGCATGTGTTTTTGCAATTGGAAAAGAAGGAACCTCTCCTGGGGGCAGAGCTGGATTCTTGGCTTGTTTGCTGATTGCTTCAAAGATAACCTGGGCCTAAGGGTTTATCAGCAACTATACTTGTTTCTGGGCAGAGTGACTAAAGGACATGAATGTAAGGTTTGGGGTGGAGGCCCTTTGAGAACACTCACTGCTTAACATCGCCAGCATATTAGAGCGTGTGTGTAACCCGAACAGGCCTGTGTGATGGGGGAAGAGACTGGTGAGTCACTAACTGAATGTGACTCATGGAAAAGGAGCCCTGGGAGTGGCTAGCCAGGAGGAAAAAAAGTCCTTGCTCTGTCTCCACTAGGGGGCAGCAGTTCGCCATGCCTTTCCTGGGTCCGGTTTCCCCTAGGGCCCCCTTGGGTCCCACCCTCCCACGTACCAAGCATACTTGGGCTGGGGGTGGGGAGCCAGGGAGTGTCCCAGGCCTCTGGTCCTACCCTTCAGCTCTCCTCCTTAAGGTCATACATGGCTGCCAGGCCCGGGACTCTCCCTTTAAACCAGTACATTTTAAGTGAAAATGCCCTTCGCTTCTCTTAGCCAGGCAACCCTTTGTTGAGTCTGTAGGACCTTCTCTGTATTGACCTTGCTCTTTTCCTCCATTCAGTACCTTTGTGTTGGATGAATTTAAGCGCAAGTACTCCAATGAGGACACGCTTTCTGTGGCGCTGCCATACTTTTGGGAGCACTTTGATAAGGACGGCTGGTCCCTGTGGTACTCCGAGTACCGCTTCCCAGAAGAGCTTACGCAGACCTTCATGAGTTGCAACCTCATCACTGGTGAGAAGAGTATGGGTCTGGGAAGAGGAAGGGAGGGCAAGGTAAAGTGATCCCAGAGGCTAAATGTTCTCCCTTGCTCCTTCAGGAATGTTCCAGCGATTGGACAAGCTGAGGAAGAATGCCTTTGCCAGTGTCATCCTCTTTGGAACCAACAATAGCAGCTCCATTTCTGGAGTCTGGGTCTTCCGAGGCCAGGAGCTTGCCTTTCCGGTGAGGAAAGTGTAGGGGTGGAGTCTGTCTCTTTAGTGTGGGGCAAGGATACAAGGGTATGGCACATCTTCATCCTGGGCTGATGGGCATTCGGGAGAGTTCCAGGACCGTGTACAGGAAGGAGCTGTCATGTTCACAGCAGTCCTGGGATCTGATGGCATGTATCTGAGCTGGAAGTGACAGGTGTGAGACAGTGTCTGGTAACCTGACCACATGCTCCTTACCTGGCTTTTTCTCCTCAGTTGAGTCCAGACTGGCAGGTGGACTACGAGTCATACACGTGGCGGAAACTGGATCCCGGCAGCGAGGAGGCCCAGACGCTGGTCCGAGAGTACTTTTGCTGGGAGGGGGCCTTCCAGCACGTGGGCAAAGCCTTCAATCAGGGCAAGATCTTCAAGTGAACATCTCTTGCCACCGCCTAGCTGCCTGTGCCCATCCTTCAGGGAGATGGGGGTCATTAAAGGAAACTGAACATTCAACCCTTGCTTGTCCTGACTCCTTTGTGAGTGGTGGCTTCTGTAGAGGGGCATGGATATGCGGAAGCAGGGTATTTCCTATGTCACCACTACCTACCTCTGCAGGAGAGATCTTCAGAAGAGCAGATTCCTGGCCTCGGTTTTGATTTCACTGCTCTGCCTCCTACTGTGATGACTGTCTTCTAGCTGGGAAAGATTGGATGCAGTTAGGGTGGGTTGTCACATGGGGCTTTGTGACTACCTAATTCTTAGGGACCATTTTCCATACTTTCCCAGTGAGAGGTGAGAATACCCCCTAACAATGGTAAGAGCCAGCTCTATGGTGCACAGCGTGTAGAGGACCTTCGTGCCGTTTCCCACAGCTGCCCTGTGAGTAGGAGGCAGCTGTGTCCAAGGGGTCGGTGAGAATCAGTGTCTGAACACTGACCACTAGGCCCTCACCTGGCTGCAGACCATCCTGGGGCACCCCTGCTTTCAAACAAGAGTTCAGAGATTTAAGCCACTTGCCTGTGATGACATATCTTGAGTGGTAGAGGCAGGATTTTAAACTCAGGGGGTGTCACTGAAGCCTGGAAACACCTATTGCGTCATAATTGTCTTCCAATAACCCTGCTCAGGTCAGTAGTCACTACTTTTTTCTTTTGAGCTTAATTTTTCTACACTTCAGAGATTCTTGCCCCTACTCTGTCTTCTGAAGAGCACTGATGATGTCCCTGTAAATTTAACAGCTCAGGTGAACTTGGAACCTAGTTTGAGTCACATTTTGAGACGTGTAAACTGTCATGACTGCCTTTGGTATTGTGGTTGTGGTTTTATGGGTGTTTTCCTCCCATCCCTTTAGTTGAAACATGGGGGGGGGTCCCTGCTTTGGGAGGGAAAGACGATCTTTCCAGGTACTGAAAGGATTGCTGGCTTCAGCGCAGTAGAGCTGTAACCTAGCTGGGAACTCTGACCAGTTGGGGTTTGGAATCCAGCTGGGTGAGGATGGGTTGGTTCTTGCTCAGTTTGCTTCCTGGCATCTCATCTTGCATGAGGTCCAAACTTGCTACCCGTCTTGCATCTGAGCTGTCTGGGCTGCTCTTGGATAGCATCTGAAAATGCTAAGTGCTGGCTGGGGTGTGCCCCAGAGCTGGTTGCTGGGGCCTCACTGAACCTGTCAGACTCCCGGTTCCCACCACACCCCCTGCTCCTTTGCTTGTGTAATCTTCCCTACCTTCCTGGTACCCTTGATCTTCCCAGTAGCTGAATTTAGGCAGGAGAGACCAAGTAGGTTTGAGGGAGCAGGTCTGAGAGGCCCAGGAGTGGAGCCCAGCTGAAAAGGGGCCTTTTCTGCTGGGTAAGCCGGATCTTGGGCTGCGGCAGGCTGCAGCCCAGTGGACTGGCCAGCTCTGGCTTTAGGGGGCTGGGACCCCGCCTTCTAGTCTCCTCTGAGACTGCAGGAAGAGTGACTCATCCACACCTCCTGCGTCCTGTGCCTCTAGCTCTGGCGGTTTGGTGGCGAGGAGGGCAGCCAGGTGGTTGGATGGGGCCAGGCCTGCGCTTGGGGGAGGGCCAGTTACCCACAAGTGGAGGTGGGCTGGGAGGCACGAGGGGAGAGGGTTGTGGCCTCAGGAAGATTAGCAGTTGGCCTCCAAAAAGGGGTGGGATGGAAGGGCCTCTTCCCTGTCCAGATGGGCAGGCAAGAAAGGTTAATGGGAGTTTCTAGCAGTAGATGTGGGGCTGGAAAGAGGAGAAGTACATCTGGAGCTGATTTGGTCCCCACCCTGCCCCTGGGAGGCCTGAGTCACTGAACGGCTTCGAGCTCTGGACTTGCACCCTCCCCATCCCATCGATCCCATCAAGGGGGGGCCCCAGTGGCTCACCTGAACCCAGCCTTTCCCCAGTTCCTCCCAGCTGGTTGGGGGCACAGGCTGCCTCGGGCAGCCAATGAGAACCTGCGCCTGGGACACGTCTCCGGTTGCTGTGCTGTTTTCCCATGTGCCAGGGAGGCCCGTGCCACCCGTGCACCACCAAGAGCTGGCATCCTTGCATCCGCAGCTCAGCGTGTGCTGTGTGCTGGCAGGGCTGGGGTCTCAGGCAGAGTGGGGCTAAGAGCCAAGCATGGTCTTGGAGAACTGGGGTAGGATGAGGGAAGGAAGAGGCTATTTTATCCACTTACTGGGCAAAACCTCAGAGTCTGGAGAAGGGAGGTTGAGAAACTGGTAGGGGTCCGGCTCGGAGGTGCATTTGAGTGCAGATAAAAGCTTTCCAGGGCCGGGAGTGTGAGTAGGCACAGCCGAGATCTGGTTTAGCTTGTAGATAAACCACTAGATAGATACTGGTTTTAAGCAGCTATTTATTTTAGCTTTGTTGGCACTTCTGGCTTAAGTCATTTAAAAAGTCAAAAGCCTTTAAAGTTCTTCCAAGAAAGACCTAGGTCGTCTGTCATTCTGCTCATGCCCTGCTTCGAGCTGGAGCTGGACAGCTGCTGCTCTCTCTGGGTCAGACCCATCCCACCAGCTGCCTACGTGCCCCAAATGTGCCACTTCCCCTTTTGAAAGGTGGGGGAAGGGTCTAGAATGTTGAAGGGAGAGAAATGAAGCATTTTGGAGGCTCCACCCAGTCATTTCTGAAATTAATACTGTGGTTTTCATGGCAACCGGCACTCTGTCCTCAGACCTGTCCCTCCAACATCAAGTGGGTTTTGCTGGGTGGCTGTGGCTCCCCTGGCTCACCCCGCTGGCAGTTCCTCAGGGCACCATAACTTCCCCAGCTTGCTTTGGTCCTGCATGTTTGAATGTAATCCTGGGGTACCCACCCTCTTCTCTAGTCCCCTAATGCTGCAGAGCTAAAATACCGGCGCTCCCAAAAGGTTAGAGAAACTATGCCACCTGCTCTTGTCTGTTTGCTCTAACCAGGCTGGCATGGCTCCCGGAGGAGGCTGTCGTTTTACTCCAGTGGAATTACTGGGGTGTCCCAGTGCCTCAGCACCCAAGGGATGGGCGGAGTGCAGGATAATGGCAGTTGCTGGAGAGTAGCGCTCTGCTTGGATCTCGTAAGAGAGAAAGTTCCTTGGGCAGGTGGGACCCGGCCAGTGGCAAAGATACCTTTGATGACCTTAGGTGATGCGGGCTCTTTTCATTCCTGTCATCCCCTCCCCTCTTGTAGCCCCGCCCACCTTTGTTTCCCCTTTTCCCCGGATTCCCACCGGAGCCTGCTCCCTTTACCTTGTTGACACAATGGGCGGGGCCAGCAGAGCAGGGGCTGGATGATCTGTGGGGTTTGGGGCTATTTCTGACGGATCTCCCAGGAATGTGCCTCCCTCTAGTTTCAGCTGCCCCCTCCCCTCTGCAGCAGGAACAGCTGTCATGTGAGGGCCTCTCCCGCTGGCTCAGCCCTTTTGCAATCATCTGGCTGGCTCTGCCTGGATGGGGGTGGATAGTGAGGATGGCAGAGCCAAGGGGTAAATGAGGGGACATGGCAGGGCAGGGGGAGCGGGTGGAGGAGGGGAAGGCTGCGGAGTTGAGTGCTGAGGGCAGAGGGGTTTCGGAGTCCAGGTAAGAGGGAAGGCAGCAGCTGAGCAGGCCAGGGAGGCGGTGTGATGAGGTTAGGGCATCCATCAAAGGAAGTGGGCTGTGTGGGCTTGGCCACTTTCTAGGTGTGAGTGAGAGTTGGTTATAGCGGACCCTGGCCAGTCATTCCTCAGGGACATCCGTATTTCCCCTGACTCACAGGAGGCCACAGGGTGCTTTCCTGCCAGTGGGCCTCTCGATGGGACCTGAGTCACTGAGTTGCCTAGGGTGTTGGCTGCCCTGTGGTGGCAGTGTCTGTGCCCTACTCCACCCACTCCCACTGTTAGGACAGGTTAGCAAACACACCCCTTTATCCCATTCTACTCCGTAGTAACTCTCCATCTCTTTGACTTGGACTCACAGAAGGTACCTCAAGCAGCGATTGCCAGGGAGACCACGGCAAGCAGCCCTTGTTTTACCCATGAGGAAACAAGCCCAGAGAGGGGAAGTGACTTATCACGGGCTCATGCTGGTCTTTGCACAGTTCCTGCAGCCGCTCACTGAGTCACTTTTGCTCCTAAGAGGAGCAGGAGGATGCTTCCCTCCAAGGCTGAGGGGTGAGCATGGTGGACGAAGCACCCTAGGTGTTGGCAGCAGGGAGAGGGTGGTAGTGAAGGCAGCCTTGACAAGGGTAAGAAGTGTGGAAGTGGAGCAAGTCCTGGGGCAGGGTCAGCCCTCGGGATCCAAGTCCTGGGGCTGGGCGGGCAGAGGGCACAGGGTGTAGAAGAGGCTGGGCTTCCAGTAACAGGAACCTCAACTATGTGGTGACTCAGGCTCTGGGCAGCCTAGGCCCTTCCTTCCCTGCTCAGCCTGATTTCCTTGAGCCAGACTTGGAAAGCGTAAGCAGAGGACAGACAGAGGGAAGCCTGGGCTGGTCTCCCTTTCCCCCGGGAACTGGAGGAAAGGCAGAGGAAGTTGGAAAGGATGGGAGAAAGACACATTCCGAAAAAGGGGAGAGGAGGCTGGTGTTCCCCTCTCTGGGCCCTCCCTTCCCACTCCCTGCTCCCTGCACCCTGCTGGGGAGGGAGCTGGCCGGGCGTTGGCTGCTCTGATCATTCCAGCTCCCTCCCTCGGCTCCTGTTTACAAGTCAGAGGGCCCAATCCCCAGCCCAGTTCTGAGCTCTTCTTTTTTCTTTCTCTCCCTCCCTCCATCCTCACACAGCCTCATTCAATCATGTCTTGCCGCTTCTTTTCCTTAATCCCAAGACCACATTTCCTGTTAACTTCTTGCTCCTACAGCATCCCCGCACCCACAACTCACCAGCCTCTATGGCCATCTCTCCCTGCTGCTTGGGACCCAACCATGCTGGGGTGGCCACCTGCCCTGCTCTGCCTGCCCACTTCTGCCCCCTTGCTCTTGCGCTGGCAGTCTTTCTTTGCCTCCTTTCCTCCCAGAGTCTGTACTAAGAGCCCTGTGTCTTATCTCTAGTTCACTGATCAACTGTCGCTTGG